AAAAAAAAACGGTAAAAAGTGATAATAACAATACATCCTTAATAAGTGAATGTGATAACAATAATGACGGTTACAATGAGGATAACAAAAACCGTTATAATGACGATAATCCACACGAAAACGGTAATGGTAAAAAACACAATTATGTTAAAGTATTAGTAGATGATCCTTTTAATAATAGGGATATTGTACTTGAAGTTTCCAAAAAACAAAAAGGTGTCTACATATGAGAAACTTTTGATGGTAAACACATGTATGTGGGACATTCCATTAATTTATATAATAGAATAAGTTCTTATTTTATGCCATCTATACTTAAGACTAAAGCAAGTAGAGTTTTACGTTATTTAAATAAAAATGGTTTTAGTAATATTAAGCTCACTATCTATATTATGAAAGACAATTCTAGTTTAGAACAGGTAGTGGAATTGGAACAACAATTTATTGATAGGTTAAACCCAAATCTTAATGTAGATCTAGTTGCTAGTGGTTCTGGCCATCATGAACCTATGAGTCAAGAAATGCGTGAAAAGCTTCGTAAACAAAGAGGTACAACAATATACATGTATAATGTTAAAGATCTTTTTTTGCTATATGCATTTGATTCAAAACAACAAGCATATGATTTGATCAATATACATCACAATACTTTAAATGATTGTTTAAACTCAGGTAATATATATCTAGATACTTACTTTTTTTCTTTAGATTTAATAGAAGAGTCTCCTGAAACTAATTTAATCCCTTCGGATCAAATTAAAAGTTTAGTTTCAGATAAACGAAATGTTTATAATGTTAAACACCCTGCAGCTAAATCTATCTTAGCAGAGTTTAAAAATGAACCTAAGAAAAATTTAGAATTTAACTCTTTAAATAGTTTAGCTAAACATTTAAAAGGTGACCGTCAGGTTATTAGAGAATACTTAAAAGGAGAGAAATCAGGTTATTATCGAGGTAAATGAAAATTTACTTATAAATTTTAATATATAATGGCATGGCCGGGTAAGATGGAAACATCTTACTTTACATTCACTGTCTGCTGGGATCCCTTTACAACCTTTGGAACTAGTAACACAGACTTTATTTTATATAAAAGCGGTGTAATACAGTAACATTTCAAAGGATTAGGCAATCAGCCAGAAACCAATTATAAAAGGGCTCATCGTAGCATTAAACGCTTTTATATAGTAGGTTCTTCAGAGACTACACGTGAATACCTTAGTAAATATTTATTATTTAAAGGTAAAGATATAGTCCGCGCATTGACGAGAGTTAGTGAGAAGCGTATGCCAGCTTTAATCGGAGGTTTTGGTAATTTCTTACTTCCATTAGGATTAGGAGGACCTGATATGGGGTTCCCTAGACTTAATAATATTAGTTATTTATTATTAATACCTAGTATTGTTTTATTCTTATTTGCAGGTGGAATTGAAAATGGGGTAGGTACAGGGTGAACTCTTAATATGGAGTACTCCGAGCAGATGGTGCTAGGAGGAATTAAACTCTTTTCGATGCGTGAATATCCCCAGAAAAATGAAATAAGATACTCATGGTTACATAAATTAAATTTTAAAAAACCGTACGTAAAAACGCTTATGACAGGGGGACAATACGCCTGGGTAGCAAAAAGAAATTTTGTTATCCATCAGAGACTTAACAAAGAGTATCTAGAAAAAAATGAAAAAGAATGGTTTGAACAATGATTAGTAGGAATAACAGACGGAGAAGGTACTTTTGGTTTCTATAAACAAAACGGTAAATGGATCTTAGTTTATAAAATAGCTCTTGCCAGATACAATTTAAGATGTTTGTATTATATTAAAACTAACTTAGGTATAGGTACTATAACAAAAGACGGTACAAAAGCACAAATCTTAATAAGAGATAGAACAAAGCTAGAAAATATAATTTTTCCTATTTTTGATAAATATCCCCTTTTAACGAGTAAATACTTCAATTACGAAAAATTAAAAAAAGCATTAAAGATAGTAACTGACACTTATATAGATAAAATAGATAAAGACAGACTTCTACTAGAATTAAAAGAAAAAGCTTTACCGGAGGATTATAGATCTCCGGTTTGAGATAATATTACATTAACTCATCCTAACGTATTTAATATTGTATCTAAACCTTGGTTAGCAGGATTTATAGAAGGAGAAGGTAGTTTCTATTTAGTACGAAAATCGGAGAATAGAATAGTCCATGGCTTTGCTATAAGCCAAAAATTAGATAAAATACTATTAGAAGCTATCAAGAAAATATTACATATCTCTACTAAAGTTAGATATAAAGAGAAACATAATTACTTTTTGCTTGATACAAATAACTCTAGAACAATAGAAAATATAATAGCTTATTTTAAAGAAAACTTAGTTGGTATGAAAAGTGTTGAATATAAAATTTGAGCGAGAACATATGCTAAACATAAGGGGGATTATTATAAGTTATTAGATGTACAATCAAGAATGAGAATGATGAAATCTAACTTAGTAGAGATACAAGATATTGACAAGTCAAAAAGTTTGTTGGATAATTACTCCATTAAACCTAGTGGAGATAGATAAAAAAAAACATAGATATCACTGTAAATATTAAAAGAATACATAATTATAAACATATACTTCTAAATACTTTTTCATTTTTTTTT